AATGCTTGGATTGAGTGAGTGAGTTTAGTGTTACGCCGATTTAGCAATATTCCAGCAATATCACGGCAGGGGACACCAGAAGTTGGTTTACACATTGTACCCACGTGAGGAATCGAACCCATGTCTTCGGCGTGACGAGAGAACGCTTTAACCACTAGGCTACCCCATCGCCACTAGAACGCTTTGAAAACATTAGTCTCTTAGACAGTATAATGACATGTACTTAGAGGTTATGATAATGGGTCAGTATTCATCAGTATCATATCTCCTTACTTAGCCTTAATACCTAGCGCAGTGTCTATGGACTACAGAGCGACACTGCCCTACTTAACACAACAGGAAGTATTTCCAGAGCGAGTATGACACTAACTTCATACGGACGGTTATTGGCTGGGTGGTAACTGCAGGTAACGTCTGTGTTGGTCTGAGACTGCTGGAGGTATGTCGTGGCCTGTCATGGCTTGACGCATAGATGCATGTTCCAACACAAACATTGCACATCTGCAGTTGAAGGTAATACCCTAATCGTTAGCCTGTAGATCATGCCATGCACTATTTCACTTAACACTGAAATTGCTTGGGAATGGTCATCCTGACCCATTTTACGAACACCTGCTGGTTTCAGTTTTGTAATTTTCACAGCTGATTTGACAATCACCCCACTGGTATCTGTTTGTGACTGACTGACTGACTGAGTTTGGTTTTACGCCGCTTTTAGCAATATTCCAGCAACATCATGGCGAGGGACACCAGAAATGAGCTTCACACATTGTAACCATGTGAGGATTCGAACCCGGGTCTTCGGCGTGACGAGCCAACGCTTTGACCACTAGGCTACCCCACCGCCCCGTATCTGTTTGTGATGAACAAGACTGGTTATTCTTTTGTGCTCACATTGTATATTTATATATAGTTGAATCTTTGAATATAGATATGTATGTCCCGTGACATCTGCACGTACACGTTTCAGATGAATCTTCTTGTACCAACAGGGCTTGTAGTGATGTGTCTGGTATATCTTGCAGAAACAGTTTTCATTCACGTATCTTAAACATATATATAAAACATTGATTGCTTTAGTCCGCCATACACTACCTCTACTGTTATCATGATTGTCTATTCTGTTACGACACAATCATCGTAACAGTAGACACAATCATCGTAACAGTAGACACAATCATCGTTACAGTAGAGACAATCATCATAACAGTAGCGACAATCATCATAACGACAATCATCGTAACAGTAGAAACAATCATCGTAACAGTAGAGACACTCATCATAACAGTAGACAATCATCGTAACAGTAGAGACAATCAAGTCAATCATCGTAACAGTAGAGACAATCATCATAACAGTAGAGACAATCATCGTGACAGGAGAGACAATCATCGTAACAGTAGAGACAATCATCATAACAGTAGAGACAATCAGCATAACAGTAGCGACAATCATTGTCACAGTAGAGACAATCATCATAACAGTAGAGACAATCATCATTACAGTACACACAATCATCGTAACAGTAGAGACAATCATCATAACAGTAGACAATCATCGTGACAGTAAATAAAATCACCGTAACAGTAGCGACAATCATCGTAACAGTAGATACAATCACCGTAACAGTAGAGACAATCAAGTCAATCATCGTAACAGTAGAGACAATCATCATAACAGTAGCGACAATCATCGTAACAGTAGATACAATCACCGTAACAGTAGAGACAATCATTATAACAGTAGAGGCACTGTCATCATGATCAGAGAGTTAATCATCATAACAGTAGAGACAATGATCGTAACAGTAGAGACAATGATTGCCACAGTAGAGTGAGTGAGTAAGTATAGTTTACGCCGCTTGCAGAAATATGCAAGCAATATTACGGCGGGGGACACAAAAACGTTCATAACTGTATAGATTATAATAATAACATTAGATACATTTATCGAGACAATAGAGTCAATCATCATAACAGTATAAATCAATCATCGTAACAATTGAGGCAATCATCATAACAGTGGAGACAATCGGAACAGTAACGGCAATCATCGTAACAGTATGGATCTTTGATCCTGTTTCTGTTTAGTTATTCAGTCTATAGCCCAATTAATTACTGCTCCGCACGGGCTGTTTTTCAAATTCTCTTCTCCTGTCCGTATCTCTCGCCTTGTCCTCCTACCTATTCACAGTTGGCTGTTTTGATATTCAGGGTAAACACATTCATGCACAATGTACGCGTCAATAGACAGTTGTTCTGCTTGACGTGGTAATCATACCCGTGTTGAATCACTGTAGAGCACGAATATTAGCGAGGCACGTCCACTGCACCCTTCTATTTACAAGGAGGAACTTGTGACGCATGCAAACCATGACACGCTTTTACCTGCTATTATTGTGTACACATATCAAGTACGTGACGTATATAAGGTGTAGAGAATGTGGAGTATGTCCATCAAAGATTTCAATAGTCATGAACTTTGCGACTGAAACAGTACCTATATATTACTTGCTTATTCGAGATTTATTTTGAGTACGATTGTTTATAACTTAACATTCTAACCAGTTTGATTGTTCAAAACAAGGGTAAACTGTGAAATACACAATGTCATTTTAGAAAGCGGTCAAATGTAACATTCGGGGTTACACTTTCTTAGTAAAGTACAGATTCTAGTACTTTTTTGGGTTGAGTCCCATCAGGGATTCCGCGAAGGCTGAGCGATCTAGGCGTCTGACTTTGTGTGCTGGCGATTAGGTGCCTGACTCTGAGAGTATGGGTTCGAATCCCGGGTGTGACTCAACCCCCAAAAGTACTAGAATCTGTACTTGACTAAGACAGTGTAACCCAAATATAACATATGCTACAAGGGAAAACCGTAAGCAAGGGTCATTGTGTACAGCAACTGCAATAAAGTATAGGTGTTTCCGTATAGAGGTACGTCCCTGAACGTGTGTGGCTTCACATTACGGCTATGAATCAGATATGTACACGTGTTATACCGAACGTCTATCAGGGAACAAAAAAACGTAATATTTTTCATGTCCTATGAAACGACTAAGGAATCGACCTGGTGACAAGTGGCTACTCAATGGGTAGCGTGTCATGCTAAGCAATTATCCATCAACACTGAATATATGAACGTCCTTGTATGATGGGCAGATTAGGATGGATGATATGAGCAGATTAGGATGGATGATCGATTTAGCGGACCACCGTGACTGTCCAGATTATTCTCGGTCGTTGACGCTGTATTTATTTCATGTTTGTGCCAGTGTGGTTAGGTATTGGTGAGTCTTCACAGTGCCCCTTGCAATATTTGGAGGTATATGCATTGTGTATACGCTGCTGAAAATATGTAATGTTGGTAGGAACTCCAGTGAGACTGGAACCTGAGAAATATCTAGACTTCTTTTGTTTGGAGCTTTTGCAATACAGAGTTATTCGGATGTGAAAACGTAGTTCAGGGACCATGAGACAAACTAATCACAACTATGTAAATATGTAACAAACATGTCTCACCAAATATATAGCATTCATTTCAGTTACTCTTTAGTTTCATATTACCTTGGATACGCAACATGATGCAGGCCGATTCTGATAAACAGACCATGACTCCCGCGGAAATTATCAGATGGAACTTTGTAACACTGAAGGAGGACCTGCACCCAGAAGAAGTGATTGACCACATGTGGTCTTCACATGTCTTCAGTGACAGGGAACGTAGGAATTGTAAGGAACAAGACGGACAACGAGCACAGACTGAAAAGTTGCTGGAGATAGTGATAAACAAGGGTCAGAAAGGGTATGAAGAATTTTGTGCTGCCCTATACACGACTCATGAGCACCTGAAGGAGATGTTGGACAATACAGAAAAAAAGGGGAGGTATACATTGTGAAGAATAGCGCTTTTTAGTGCGTCCTTAGATGGTTTATGGTAACAATTAGAAACCATTTAGCACAAGGGCATTGATGCAATTAAACCAAACAACGATCGGGACCCCCAAAAAACAATACTCACTAATTTTATGTGTTTGTAAGACCATGGAAAGCATGATCATACTTAATTAGTTAGGAATTTTCTGCCATTTGTAATGTTTGACTTTTCGATGCCAAGGGGAACATGGTACATACAATGCCAGATTTCGGTTCCCTTTTACGATTGATGGAACTGACAGAACGTGTTTCAAATGGCGTATATTGTGCCAGAATTCACTCCCCTTTTTCCGATTGATGGAACTGACAGAACGCATTTCAATAACATATATTGTGTCTTTCATCTATCCCTTTCCTTCAAGGTGTTTCCAGCTTGGTGTTTGTCAGTGAGACTGAGGTACAGGAACGTATGTCTGTGATGGAACAGAGGATTGCTGTTTTGCACAAGGTAGACAGTGACTTGGGAATATGCCTGAGGGGATTGTTTGGGCAGGTTTTCATTTGAAAAGATGTAACATCATAAACATTATTGAGATGGTTGTTTGAGTGGCCGTAGGATGTATGCGTGGCACAAATGTGAGTAAAAAGCTGGTCCAGCTAATGCAACATTCTGTTGAAGGAACTAGATGATGCAAGGCAAGAGGTACAACATAGTATGGTTGAACATGAAAGAGTGGTCAACAAACTAAATCAGCAGCACGAAGAGCAGAACACAGAGTTAAAGAAGAAGATTAAGCAACTGAACACCAAGCAGAAATCAGGTGAGAGATCATGGTACAAGAATTACATACAATACGTGCTTCTCATATTGTTATCAACGCACTGTACACAGGACCGAAGTTGACTTAACATGCATGTGATAAGTTCAACTAATGCACACAGAAGAAGAAACTGTAATGGTATATTGTCTAATTTCATTTTAGTTCAAACAAAGTTAGAAAAGACGAAAAGCAAAGAAGAAAGTATGTCAAAGAAATGTCTCCATTTACAGCAGGTAGGTAGTGGTTCAATCTCTGTTATTAACTTGTTTCACTGAAAGTAGGAAATTTCTTTGAACCTAAACATATGGCAGAAGCACGAGTACATATTCACCTATAATCTGCATCTTATTAAGAATATTGACAGTAAATATGGTGTAGTGTCAGTGTGTCTACATCATCTTTCGTTTGGTCTTATAATGATTACAACAAAGATGTAATGCTTAATTTCAGGATTTGAAAGAAACTCGGAAAAAACTTGAGGCTCTTACCACCTTCAGACGGAAGAAAAAGCAAAAAGACTACCTCATTAAAACCTCCAGGTTCGTCCTTTCAACTTACAGTGATATGACTCAACACAACTTTATTAACAATCACCTGTACATTGTTGTTATTTGTTTTCAGCTACTACTGTGGAGGAAACTGCCTGTGTTCTGCAAACGTCTCCAGATTGTGACACAGGACAGCTGCTGCTTTTGCCGTGTCTCCATGCCGCCTGTAAACCTTGCATTGACCAGCACAACCAGAACGACATTGTCTGTTCTTGTGGGCGAGACATCAACTTGGAGAAGGAACGTACAGCAGTCGACTTCGTGAGGAGAAATGAAATTGCTCTTGCAACAGATGAACACGAATGTGAATTCCTCACAGGACAATGCACCGAGAAAGTTGTAAGTCATTGTAAGACGTGTAACATCTCGATGTGTGCTAACTGCACCGACAAACACAACACCACAAGAGCAACTTCAAAACATGCTGTAGTATTGGCTGAGCAGTTTAATGAAATGCCGATTCGGGAACGACTACCTCTCTCGACGTGTTCAAATCATCCTACTAAGATTGTCAATTTTTTCGATGAACAATGCCACACATCAGTTTGTTCTGTGTGTGCAATAGGAAAACACAAGGATCATGGCATTAAAGATCTTGATGAAACATTTCAAAAAACTAAAGTGCTCCTTCTCAACAAGCTAGATCAGCACAAGGAACACCTGCAGAAGATACAGACTTCTTCTAGACAGGTACAGAGTCGGATGACAGAGCTGGAGGAAAGGGGTCATCAACTGACGAAGGAAATAGCTGACGTACACACTGACCTTGCTTTGCATTTAGTGAAAAGGTTAAAGGTTCACAGTCAGCAAATTGAGAAAGAAGTTGAGAAGCACAAGCGCAATCTTCAGAAGGATATGGAATGCCTTGGAACCACAGAATCGGCTGTACTGGCTACATTAAGTTATGCTGACAGGAGCCTGACATCTACCACATGCGCCCAATTCATGGATCTCTCGTCTACCATTGTTAGCAAGATTGACCAAGATTTTCTAAACCCGTTTCCTGAAGATTCGGTCAAGACAAAGGCCTTGACCTTCACTCCTAAAGGACATAAGGCTCTTCGCGAGATAGTTGGAATGTTTGGCAGAGTCAGCACGTCTGACAAGGACGTAGATGATGCAGATACCGTGCCGACCATAACAGGTAATGCACATTTCCATGTGAGTGAGTGAGTTTAGTTTCACGCCGCACTCAGCAATGTTCCAGCTATATGGCGGCGATCTGTAAATAATCGAGTCTGTATCAGACAATCCAGTGATCAGCAGCATGAGCATCGATCTGCGCAATTTGGGAACCGATGACATGTGTCAACCAGGTCAGGGAGCCTGACCACCCGATCCCATTAGTCGCCTCTTACGACAAGCATAGTCGCCTTTTGTGGCAAACATGGGTTGCTGAAGACCTATTCTATCCCGGACCTTTACGGGTCACATATCCATGTAATTCAGTCCATTTATACATTATACTAATGGTTAACAAAACATCATAAATATGTTTGACTCATTTTAATGCATAAAAACCTAGTTGGACACAAAAACGTTTATTAAGAATACCCTTTATTAATAACTATATTTACAACCTTTTTTGTATTCACCAGATTTACAATCTCAGCTTGCCATCTTCAAGGATCAGGAGAAGGTAAATAACTAAAACATGACCATCAACATCTCAAAAGTTGTAATTTCAGATGCATTGTCTCGGTAACTATTAGTAATAATTATAATTAGTGTGGGTTGTTGAAGTGCCATAATTTATTCATCATTGTTGATGTTCAACTGACGCCGTTGTGGAAAGCAATGTACGTTTCAGTTCTAGTAAAGGCATTGACGTCATGGTAGTAGTGCACGTAGATTATATAATATTAGGTCAAGTCATGATTTTGTGCACCATTCCTAACACGTGTGTCTCTGTTAAAGACCGCCTTCGTCTAAGCAAAAGCCATTGTCATATAAAACTGCGTTTCTCTTTTTACGCTCGGCCTTTGAAACGGTTAAGAAACCTGCAGTGGAGGTTCGCACACCCTTAACAGACCATCTGGAATCACAAGGTGAGATTTGTATTCATACAATGTATAAAATGTGACGTTCTACTGTTTGGCATGATTAGGTCTCCTCGTCAGTAAGAAAAAAGGCCAACGTACGAGGTGTCGTTGCAGTAAACTAAAACCGGAATTAAACTGACTTTCTCTTCTCTCTTTTCTCTAGGAATCTACTTCCTGGATCCCGCAAAGCTGGACTTCTCATCAATCCTTCATTGTATGTATATTTCACTTCTCTTAATGCTGTCATAGTGAGTCTCATATTGCTCGATAATCGGGTCTCATACTCTCATACTCATGTTGTAATCATAAGTAAATTTCATTCATGTTTTCTAGGTATACATCTTAAATATGATAGGGACATGGTCAACCTGAATAGAACCCAAGTCAACGCAGAAGGAGACCTAGTCTCCAACATATGGCCGAATGCCACACCTGCAGAGGAAGACAGACTGAAGAACTTCTGGGGGACATGTAGTAGTGTCCCCCTCGCCCGGGCTGGTTGTCTGCAGTACTTCGAGACGGAGGCAAGGGTTGGCCTGGAAAAACCACTCAATGAGAATGTCCTCCTCTTGGAGGTTGGTGTCTGTCCTAAGGAAGAGAGGGACATAAAGCATAGTATAGGAGGTCGTCCTCATGCTTACTGTTTGGACGTCAATTCCTGTACTACTCACGAAGGGATATGCAGGGCAATCAGGAAGGAGGGAAAACGTGTGTTACATCTTCCTGACACCATACCCAACACAGCAGGGGCATCAGGCACACTTCATTACGGTATCGTCTATGATGACGCCAGAAAGAAGATTGTCTTCATTGATGTGAAGGAGAACAAAGTGATGTCGACAGTAGACAAGGTAGACTCCAGTCAACCCTTGTGGCCGATGTTCGGGGTGTATAGCTCAGGAAAGAGCCCTGTCAGCATGAAGCTAGTCGTGGGCAGCGACATTAACATGACAGAGGAGAAGAAGGCAATGATTGTCAAGGCACTGGCGTGATGTCGTAGTACAATACTGGAGGCCATAATGATGATTATAGTCACACGAAGACTGTGAGATACTCATCTCTCAGAAATAAAGCGCTTAGAAGCAAATGAGTGACTATGTATCAAAACTTTACACTTAATATAGATTCGCGAATGGCTGCCAAGCTAGATGTTTCTTACTGATTGCTGTTAAGGTTGTGTAGATATTATGCTACATTTACTTTTCATCTTTATTATATTTATTTCCATAGAATAACATAGAATATGTTTATATTTTAGAATACATTTCACATCAATACACATTCACAAATATCCATTCATACTATGGATACAACCCAAACCACCGAATTTACTCATTTTTCATGTGTCACAACTCCAGTGGCCGATGTGCACTTTGAGTTTTTTGTCATTTTCATATTTTTCAAAACAAATATTTAACCTATCATAATAAATTATGTTGCAACTACATGCTTGGCGTGGTTTGGCCTTTTTTGTATGGAAAAACATGTAGAAAAAGGGAGAACTTTGTCACAAGGTTTGATGCCACTACCTTTACAACAGACACACACACACACACACACACACACACACACACACACACACACACAAATTGCAATAATGATTAGTCCCTGTACTGTCCTCTAATTCTGCTTCATGCTTGCAAGCAATGGCAGTGAGGAAACATGGCTGTCAAACACAGACACTAAAAAAGTCATTTTTTCTTAATTTTATCGCAAAAAGGTGTGTACAAAATGATATCTGATATTTTTACATGTCCTAATCGTTACGGTGGCTACCGCTGAAACCAATTAATTTTGTGAAACCAAACAACGGCAAGTACCTTAGACAGTAGGGGAAATCATTTAAAGCCACGAGCTCAGTACACTTTGGGTACCAGTTATTGTTATCAAACCGATATTGTCAGTAGCTGTGACGAAGAAGGAAACGGCTCTGGTTGGACTGTTAAGGTAGTGACATTATATACCATCACAATGTCACTTTATGTTCTCGTCACGATATGGCTGCAATATTGCCGATGTGACTTTAAATTATAACTCACTCACTCACTCACAATGTCACTGCTGTAACATACAGTCTTTACCTGTTTTTGTACATGACAGGGATACCTAAGTAAATTACATATTCTTCAAATATTCTGAAATATCTGACTGACATCTTTCATTAACTTATCTTTTAAAGTGAACATATAAACCTGATTATTATTTAAAATGTCACTACCGTAACAATTAATGCCAATGTCCATGCTATAACATTATCATTTTCCTTATTTAATTAAAATTTGTAGTCCAAGTATGTTTGGTAGTAGAGCTTCAAGTAAGCATAATATAATTCATATTCTCAGTTTTAATTTTGTGCTACATATTACTCTATATTTGCAAATCAGAAATGTAAGGAATGTTTGGCTTGTTGGCCCCTTTTAAGCACTAAATGCAAAATTTCAAAAGTCATTAACCATGTTATATTGTAAAACTAGATTTTTTAATATCTATGTACTTCAATGAATATCATCTTTTGATTTGTGTCATCCGTTTATGTTTTGTATATTCAGAATAGTCATGTACGTAATCAACAATATTTCAAAATAAAACAAGGAAACAGAATAACAGTGAGTGAGTTTAATTTTACACCGCACTCAGCAATATTCCAGCTATATGGCGGCGATCTGTAAATAATCGAGTCTGGACCAGACAATCCAGTGACCAACATCATCAGCATCGATCTGAGCAATTGGGAACCGATGACATGTGTCAACCAATCAGTGAACCTGACCACCCGATCCCGTTAGTCGCCTCTTACGACAAGCATGGGTTACTGAATTTACAATTTTTGCCTAAATGAAATATGCACTCACATGTATGTATATCCAATAGTGATAATAGCGATTGAATAAACTACAATATGTTTATCTGACTTAATGTCTTCAGTAAATATATTATGGAGAGATGACCAGATAGTATAGATATCTCCCTTACTACATGCTTGAAGTTTGGAACTTGTTCTTTTATCTTCTGTGTAAATATTACTTGTTTCACAACAAGACATATCGCATTTAAAGAAATATTATTTTCCCCTTTTCCCCGTTTTCTGATGTAAAATCAATGTTGCCTTCAGTTGCAGTCATTAGCCATCAAGTCAAACTCTCCGAAATCATTTTAACATGACAATAATTACAGAATAGATGAACAATTGTTTCTAATTACTTTGAACAGAATGAAGATATTGGAGTGTCTTTTAGTTAGACCAATTTTATGTAAGATAACGTTTGTATGCATAATATATAGAGGATATTATATGAGTGCCCATGTCATACTATGTTTATGACACGAGTGCCTTAATGTTGGTATTTCCCGAGCGAGAGCGAGGGATATTCCGATATTTAGGCACGAGTGTCGTAGGTAGAATTTGATGCTATAGTCTTCCTTGAAGCTTGGTGTGAAAGTGAAAGTGTGACAGTCCTGCCTACCTATGTACACTATCACAATCTAAGATGTAAAGTGAAAGTGCGACATTCCTGCCTAACTATGTACACTATCACAATCTAAGATGTAAAGTGAAAGTGTGACAGTCCTGCCTACCTATGTACACTATCACAATCTAAGATGTAAAGTGAAAGTGCAACATTCCTGCCTTACTATGTACACTATCACAATCTAAGATGTAAAGTGAAAGTGTGACAGTCCTGCCTACCTATGTACACTATCACAATCTAAGATGTAAAGTGAAAGTGTGACAGTCCTGCCTAACTATGTACACTATCACAATCTAAGATGTAAAGTGAAAGTGTGACAGTCCTGCCTACCTATGTACACTATCACAATCTAAGATGTAAAGTGAAAGTGTGACAGTCCTGCCTACCTATGTACACTATCACAATCTAAGATGTAGTGTGAAAGTGTGGCATTCCTGCCTACCTATGTACACTATCACAATCTAAGATGTAGTGTGAAAGTGTGACAGTCCTGCCTACCTATGTACACTATCACAATCTAAGATGTAAAGTGAAAGTGTGACAGTCCTGCCTACCTATGTACACTATCACAATCTAAGATGTAAAGTGAAAGTGTGACATTCCTGCCTAACTATGTGTACTATCACAATCTAAGATGTAAAGTGAAAGTGTGACAGTCCTGCCTACCTATGTACACTATCACAATCTAAGATGTAAAGTGAAAGTGCAACATTCCTGCCTAACTATGTACACTATCACAATCTAAGATGTAAAGTGAAAGTGTGACAGTCCTGCCTACCTATGTACACTATCACAATCTAAGATGTAAAGTGAAAGTGTGACAGTCCTGCCTAACTATGTACACTATCACAATCTAAGATGTAAAGTGAAAGTGTGACAGTCCTGCCTACCTATGTACACTATCACAATCTAAGATGTAAAGTGAAAGTGTGACAGTCCTGCCTAACTATGTACACTATCACAATCTAAGATGTAAAGTGAAAGTGTGACAGTCCTGCCTACCTATGTACACTATCACAATCTAAGATGTAAAGTGAAAGTGTGACAGTCCTGCCTACCTATGTACACTATCACAATCTAAGATGTAAAGTGAAAGTGTGACATTCCTGCCTACCTATGTACACTATCACAATCTAAGATGTAGTGTGAAAGTGTGACAGTCCTGCCTACCTATGTACACTATCACAATCTAAGATGTAAAGTGAAAGTGTGACAGTCCTGCCTACCTATGTACATTATCACAATCTAAGATGTAAAGTGAAAGTGTGACATTCCTGCCTAACTATGTGTACTATCACAATCTAAGATGTAAAGTGAAAGTGTGACAGTCCTGCCTACCTATGTACACTATCACAATCTAAGATGTAAAGTGAAAGTGTGACAGTCCTGCCTACCTATGTACACTATCACAATCTAAGATGTAGTGTGAAAGTGTGACATTCCTGCCTAACTATGTACACTATCACAATCTAAGATGTAAAGTGAAAGTGTGACAGTCCTGCCTACCTATGTACACTATCACAATCTAAGATGTAAAGTGAAAGTGTGACAGTCCTGCCTACCTATGTACACTATCACAATCTAAGATGTGAAGATCCTTTAGAAACTCAGGTGGAATATTGATCATTATTAGAAACAAGCTGCAGCAGTTAGTGAAACTAGTACCAATCACATCAGACAGTATACTATGGATTACAATCACAATCCTATATGAGCCGGTCATCTTTTTCGGTGCTGTTTACTACTCGCCAGAAGGCAGTAGTCATCATTCCAATGAACCTATCTTTGATACCTTAGAACAGGACATCCCAGTTCAAATTAGACTCTCCGGACTGTGGGGTAATAGTACAAGGCGACTTCAATGCGCGGACTGGGGACGGCAGTATTGTATTCGACTACATCATGGACGACGACACCAACTACCTACCAGTTGACCAGGACCTGGGCTACCTAGAGGATTCGCCTCCACCGTGCACATCTCAGGACAAGTGTATCAACAAGCGAGGGTATGCTATGTTAGACCTTTGTAAACAAACAGGCCTCCGTATCTGCAACGGGCGTGAGGGTAAGGACAAGGATCTAGGTATGTGTACATGTTATGCTTATGATGGAAGCAGTGTTATTGACTATACCAAGTGCCTAGAAAAATCACTTCATCAAATCATTGACTTCACAGTTTTAAGCGAAATTGACAGCACCCATATGTCGCTGACCTGCTCGTTGAAACTGACATGCGGTCACAGTGACGCATGTGAAACAGCTCCGGCCCGACCTACATACGTCTGGAGCGACAGTGCCCGTGACGAATACACACAGCGATGGAACTCAGACTCCGTCTTGTGTGGTCAGTTCTTTAACTCCATTAGTAGTGGGTCAGTACAGACTGCTTACTCTTGCCTCAGCGGAGTATTGTGCTGACATATGTAAAAAATCAGTAAGGCGGGATAAGCGAGCCAAGGGAGACAACTGGTTTGACAATTAATGCCTAAATGCACGTGCTGTTGCGCGGAGATCTCTCAGGGCGCTACAGGGA